GTTGCTGCACTCCCTGCTGTCAGACTCACACCAGTACACTCCACTGTCTGATGGGTAGACACCTTTGATGGTGCAGGATGATCCATTTAATTGGCCCCAGGTCTCACATGAGAGAGAAGACTTTGTGGAGGTGTTTCTCTTCACTGTCCAGCTGCTGAAGCTGCCTGGCACTGCACAGCTCAGAGTCACAGTTTCATAAAAAAAGAAGACTGACCTGCCGGGATGGATGCTCAGAGTAGCAGCTGCAGGTTCAAAAACATCAGGTTAACCCACATCAGTTGACATGTAGTACACGCAGTGTGAGACGATCAATGACATAGATGTTGAAACCATTTATGCCACTGCACAGATTCAAACCAGCAACTTTTTTGGACAAAAGTTTCCACAAACTCAACATTGCCAAGAACGACATGGTAATGTTAGGCTTTTAAGCCCCACGCCCCGCTACCAGGGGTAAAAAGGAGGAGCTCACGTTTAATCGGTTATAACACGGTGTCAGAAATATAAGTCCGGACATGTGTGGTATCCACAGAAACCTCTCAATCTCAGTTAAAATCTCATATAAACCATTTCTACAAAAACTAAACACAACGAAAACAAGTCATGATTAAACAGCTTTTAATGATTTCTTTAAAATGTTTTGTTTCCAGGGTTGTTAATAATAATTGGTTGCACAAATTTGAATTTATTTTCAATTTTCTCAAATCTGCACTGGTTTAAAAGAATACTTTTAGGTTCAATATACACACACTTAATTCTTTTAGTAAGTGACGCTTAATGACACGGTCAGCTTTTCATGGTTAATCATGATTGACTACAACTGGTACTTTATGTTTGTCAGCAGTAAAGGACTTGTTTCACAGCGCTCATCAGATTAACCAATAATCCAAAAATGGGAAAGTCCAAAGATCTGAATGAAGATCTAAGAAGTAAGACACACGAGCTTGACATTGAGACAGAGGGGGAAACAGACATGGGACCAAGCAGTGGCGGTCCTAGCCTGTTTGGCGCCCTGGGCGAACACTCCCTC